GGCAAGAAATCCCATTCTGATGCTCTTAAAATTCCTCCTTTCCCAAATAGCTGCCATGTCATCCCAAGGGGCCCGAGAGGCTTTCTTTGTGTAGGAAAATCTGAAAAAATTAAATTTAAAAGTCATTATGGCCAGGGTAAGGTTAATAAGAAAATCCTAAACCAGATTTATCGGCGAAGGCCTTCTTTGTGAACCTTTATTAAACTTGCATGATTAGAATGGATTCTTCGTATAAACTTCACTCAGAAGTCTGCAAGGGAATGGACGCAGAACACGCCGCGCTGCTCCTCAGGACGGGAGCCGGTGGGGAAGCGTCAGACAGGCCCTCGCTAAAACGGCAGACAACACCAGGACCCACCTGGCCATGTAAGCAAAGACAATACAGAGAGTGCGAGGGGCCACGAAATCCAAGGGGCCGGGAGCATCAGGCATGGCTGCTCCACCAGGAGGGCGCCCTCCTGCCCCCACCACTGGGCACAGAGCCTTGCCCCTGCGCCTGCAAGGGTGCTGGCCCCACCTTCTGCCTCTGCTGGCTCCAAAGCTCAGGCATCTCTGCAGCTTGCCAGAATCAGGCCCTCTCCACCTCTCCTCTGAACCACAGACATCCAGCTGCACCTGCCTGGCAAGTCCTAGGTCACCCACCTGGTTGTGGCTGTAGAGGAGGCCAGGAAAGTGGATTTCTGGAAAATAAGGAAGGGAATTCAGAAGATACAGGGGAGCCAGGAAGCCTCACCGGTGGCCACTATGCTGACCCTGGCAACTTGAACAAAAAGAGAGTGGCTCATTTCACAAGAGCTCAGAAGTCTTGGAAAATCTCCCTTCGGACCCTAGCTCACCGTGACGCTCCCCTGGGCCATGCTTCCTCCAGCCCGCTTTGTTCTCAGGCTGCAAATGGCAGCTCCCAGCAACCCGACATCTTCAGAGTCGTGTGGTTACCATGTCCAGGCCAGACGCAGGGGCCACCAGAACTGACCCCTAACTGGCTGACTTAGGTCATTAGCCTATTTCAAACCAGTTATTGAGGCGGGGTCCTCGGGGGTGGAAAACAAGGATCTGAACCATTTTCAGCAAAGGACCAGATAGTATTTTCATCTGTGGTCAGGCTGTCTCTGTCGTGACTCAATGCTGCTGCTGGGGCAGGAAAGCAGCCACAGGCTATATGTAAATGAATGGGGCGTGGCTGAGTGTCAATAAAACTTTATTGACAAAAATAGGCTTCCGGCCAGCGCCTCACTAGACCAAGCTGACCAGAGCCCTTCATCCCACCAAACCCTTAAGGAAACTTGGGGTGACATGGCCACAGGACCAGAGCGGTGTGATCCTGGTCAACCCTCCCTCAGAATCCTGAAGGCCAGAAGCTACCGAGGGCTGCCACGTGGCTCCTGGGGGAGGCCAGCAGGTTTTCACTCAAGAAAGGAGAAGTGACCCCAAGATTCAGGCAGGCTGCTTTGGGGCAAGGCAGTGTCCCCAGCAGAGGGAATGGCCCGGGGCCAGGTGTCAGACACCAGCAGTGTGTGCTGTGGGGCCTGGCCAGAACAGTGTCTGTGCATTCACGGCATCTCTGGAGAGGGCTCAGGGTCCTGGCGCCCAGCACATTTTGCAAACTCAGATCCCCGGGGTCAGGGGGATCTCGCAGGGGAGCTCACTGGCCTTGAGTCCTCCACCAGCCACTGCAGGGGTCACCTGCCTGCCTCACTGACGATGGGGTGGGACACCCTCCTCCCTGTTCCAAGCCTGCGAAGCTCCCCCCGCCCTGAGGCCCTCCCACCACCACCTCTGCCTGGAGATGGTCCCAGCAGGGAGTGTGTAACGTGGCCCAGCTGCCATCTCCCCTGAGGACACCAAGGGGACTGTCAGCTCCACCTCACAGCTCTGCCCACTCCCAGGCCCCCCAGGCACCAGGTCAGCCCCTAGACTCACAGTAGCACAGCCCTGGCTGAGGAGGGCTGCCCCCTCCCGCCCAGTCCCCGGCCTTCCTGGAACTTGTTCACAGGCCTCAGCGAAGCTCCCTTGAATGTCCCCCCACAGCGGTCCTCTGCCTGGGACCTGGCCACCCAGGACCCCACATGGCCACAGCCCCAGCAAGGGCTGTCCTCTCGCACCCAAGGACCGCAGGGCTGAGATCAGGCACGCAGCTCCCTCCCAGGCATGTTCTCACCCCTAGAACACATGGATCTCCAACCATGGCCTGAGTCGCCCCTGCCATCCCCCAGCAGGCACTGTCTCCCATGCCATGATGCTGTGCAATTCAGAGCCCAGTGCATCCCATGGCGATGCCAGCTCCCTGTCCTGCTGGAGGACGATCTGACACCTGGGCGACTCAAAACATGTGTGATGAAGGGAAGACAGAGTGAGCCCCGAAGCTCCCTCCTCTAGAGCCAGGTCAGCCTCTCGAGGCCTCCCCGGGTACCCAGCTGCAGGCTCCGGGCTCCGGCCACCTGGCTCAGGAGCAGAGACAGCTAGGAGATTCCAACCGACACTGGACATTGGGAGCGGTGGGGGTGGCAGCTGTCCGCTCTGGAGTTTAACAAAGACGGTTCCTCCCAATCCTGAGATGAGATCTTCTATGGCTAAGTGTGGCCATCGTGTGAGGAAAGGATCCTGCTCCCCAGACATGGCTGAGATCCCACTTTGGGTAAATCCACAATTTTTCTTCCTAACAAGGTGATTGTATGGGGATGTGAGTGCTTGCACCTGCAGGTGACAGGCGGGGCCCTTCCTATCAGACCCAGAGCTGGGCCGGGCCGTGGGGCTTTTAGCCACGCTTAGAGCCCCAGGTCCAGAAGCCTGATTAAAGGACTTTCTCTGAGCTTTTGAAATAGAAACGACGCAGTGCTTGTCTGGGATTAAAGGGAATATTTTTCCATCCTTGACAAGGCAGCCCATTGGTGTGGGCTCTGAATTCTTCTGTTGCGTCTCCATCCTTTTTCAGAATGTTGACTTGGCTCCTGCCTGGAAAGGGGACCAGCATATTTCATTTTTGTGCATTTATATGAAGGCTATCACTCATTCCTTCATTCATTGATGAGAGGACAGGCCTTGGGCCAGCAGGGACAGTCGCCATCTGTATGTCGTTGGACCTTGTTCACCTGATGTCTTTGTCCACTGGTCTGACGGGGCCTCCACACTCATGACAGAGGCGTGCTGAAGGGGCACTGGTGGGTTGGATGAATCTGCGTCATCTCACAGCCTCCTCTCACACCGGCACTGAGACTGGGCCCAGAACCGACGCCTCAGGGCCTCTGTGTGCTTCTCTATCCTTGCAGGACTCGCCTGTGGCAGACACGGTCGGCTGGCTCCCCAATGCCCGTTTCCCACCCCTTCTCCCTTTCCCACCTCACAAGGCTCCCTTCTTTGGGCTGGTGGTAGCCGTGGGACATTGTCCTGGCCAACGGAGCATCGGCACAAGTCAGCTGGGGCGGGGGGGCACTCCAGGAAGACTCTTACTGAACGGACAGCTGTGCTTCTCAGGCAGCCAGAGGGCCAGGCCAAGCTGCAGGGTCCTGACCACTGGAGGAGGGGAAGGACAGAGCCCTGCCCTGATGGGCGTAAGTCACCTGCAGCCCTGGAAGGTCAGGCTCCTGTGTTCAGGTTACCCCAGAGCAAGTTTCTGTTCACTGCACCCGAGGGCTCCTCCCTGCCTCCTGGCTGAGGGCAGGTGCGAAGGTGGCCTGGGTAATGCCCCAGACACCCTGACGGCCTTGTTTTAACTTAGTCACCTCCTTAAAAGCCCTATCTCCAAATACAGTCATACTCGGAGGCCTTGGGGGTTTAGGGCTTCAACACGGAAATTCCAGGACACACTATTCAGCCCCTAACAGTGCCCCACACCAGGACACAGGGGCTTCCCATGCAGGGGCACTCCCCTCCCAGTAGAAGGGGAGCAGAGCTGCCTGCAGACGTGCACAGCCCTGTCCTGACGCTCCAGCACCCGTCCTGGGAGGAAGGGTACCTGATCACAGCACTGTCACATCACAGAGCACTGCTCAGCCATCTCAGCTGCATGTGGCAATACAAAGGAGTCCCACAGCCACAGTGCTGAGCAGAAGCCAGACACAAGTGCTGGAAGGTTCCACTCATGGAAAGAACAAACCCAGATGAACTCATCTTTGACGCCAAAGTCAGCATGAGCTTATAAGTTTCCCACAACAAATCAGAAGTCAGCATGAGCTTATGAGGTTCCTGCAACAAATGGCCACAAACGGGGGCTTGAAACAACAGGAATTGATTCTGTCAGTCTGAACTCACCAGGGTCCTGCTCCCTCTAAAGACTTCAGGGAGAACCCTTCCTGCCTCTTCCAGGTTCTGCTGGCCACCCTGGTGTTCCTGGGCTTGTGGTGGCATCACTCCAGTCTCTGCCCCCATCTCCCATGGCCTCCCACCTCTGACTGCGTCTGTGTCTTTTCTTTGTGAAATCCCCTCTGCCTCCCTCTTCTGAAGATGCACGTGGTAGCATTTAGCTCCCACCTGGATAATCCAGAAAAATCTCCCCGGCTCAGAATCCTTCCCTCCAGCACCTCTTCTTCCTACAAGGGGGTATCTCCAGTTCCAAGGATTGAGATGTGGCCATATCTTCGGGGCCACCATCCAGCCAGTACAGGTGGAAACTTTGGGACATGCAAGGGGTCTGGGCCTGGGGTGGGGACTGGGAATGAAAAGAAGGACCCATTGTTGAAGCTGCTCCATCAGTGGTCCTCTGCCACAGCTGCAAGGCTGACGCATCTGCCGGGCAGGTCTGCACGCCTGCTTCAGTGGGGCCCCGGCAGCCGTGCTACGAAGCGCACACTCCTGTGCACCCCCGAGCAGCCTGTCTTCTCTGATTCCTGATCTGGGCGCGGCTGACACAGTGTGTTCTGTCTGTGAACATTCGTTGAGCTGGGCTGACACGGTGTGTCCTGTTTGTGAACATTCATTGAGCTGCACACATATGCTACGTGCACTTCTCTGTACATATTTACACTTAACGTGGGTTTGTAACATTCTTTCCTTCCATTTTGCAGTTTGCAGGGGAGGTCCCCGAAAACCGTGTGGAGACCGTGGTCGCAAACCTCACGGTGATGGACCGAGATCAGCCTCACTCTCCAAACTGGAACGCCGTTTACCGCATCATCAGTGGGGATCCCTCCGGGCACTTCAGCGTCCGCACAGACCCCGTCACCAATGAAGGCATGGTCACCGTGGTGAAGGTGCGTACTCTTCTCGCACCCTGCCAGGCACCCCAGGTTCTGCCACCTGCACACTCCCTGGGACAGTGAAACAGGAGTGATACTTGGTGTAAAGTTAGTGCCCCCCTAATATCCAAGGGCAGAGACAGGTAACCCAACCTGCTGGAGGCAGACACAACCTTCACAAGGACCTGTCATGTGACCTGCAGGGGCTTGGCAGACCCCCCCAGAATACCCTCCCGTTCCCTTTTCAATGTCTATATATTTGCTGCCACCCCCTACTCTAGTAATGGGTGAATTTCATTATTAGAATTCCCAATGTTAAACCATCCTTGCATTCCTGAGGTAGATCCCATTGAGTAGTGAGGTAGTATTTTGTAACATGTTGAAGAATTTGTGTTGCTGATATTTGAAGTTTTTCGTGTCCTTTTCTGGGTGATTTAGGCTTACAGCATCCTCATCTGGGTTTTGCTATCAAGGTTACTGACTAATCTCAAGAGTATTTTTCTGTCCCAGAGATGGGTCATGTGATGCTGTAATAATCCGTCCCCTGAATGTTTGGTCACACTGTGCTGTGAAGACATTCAGTAGCTGCAGATTTTGTCTTTTTGGTTGTGCTTCTTTTTGTTTTGGAGAGAGATGGGTTTGTAACTGCTGGTTCAATTTCTTTGATGGTTTTGGTTAGATGTGTTTTTCTAGAAAAGTGTCCATTTAATCTACATTTTCAAATTTACTTATAAAGCCCTATCATTATAGTAGTGGTGATTCAGTCTTCTAACCTAACTCTTTTTCTACACTTACAATTCATATTCCCCTGGAAGGGCAGATTGGGAATTATATTGTAACACTTAGTGATCATTTACAACTTCGTGTGAAGAAGTTTAGCAGCTACTGTCCCAAAACAATTTTGAATAGGACTAAGAAGAAAAGACCAAGAGTACACTGGGCATTTTTAGAGAAAAGGGCAGGGGGTAACAGAAGGGTGAGCTTAAAGCTGGATAGGATCTGCCGAAGCGTAAGGGAAAGCAAGTTTCGTTTTGGGTTGGATCATTTAGAAACTTCCTTCAGCGGCCGGGAGCAGAGCTTAACCACAGAAGCTTAAATACTGGAGAGCTTTATTCTGTCACGTGAGAGGAGTCCTGAGGTGGGCAGTTGAGGCCGATGTCACAGCTGCACAATCAACAGAAACCCTGACTCCTTCTATCCTCTGCTCTGCTGTGCACACCTTTCAGGGCCCCTCATGGTCCAAAATGGCTGCTAGAGCACCAGCCATTACAAGACTTCTACAGGTAGCAGGAAATCAAAAAGGCGGAAGAATGGCTTGCCCCTCCTTTATTGAAGGATCTTCTCAGAACACCTGTTCACATCTTATTGGGCAGAGTTTAGTCACATGACCATTCTTAGCCAGAGAAGACACTGCATAGCATAATTATGGGCACATCTCCCAAACTTCTCCTAAGGAAGAGGGGAGCTAGATGCTAGGGGATCACAGGGGAAGAAAATAGGCTCCTCCAGGATCTGTGTCTTTTCTCAACACCCCAAAGTCATCTTTTTCCTTTTCTTAATAACCCCTTTTCTAAGCAAGCTAGTGAAGACTCTCCTGAAAAATCTTATAAATGTCTTCATCATTTTTACTTTATGAAATATTCAAATATACAGACAAGCAGAAATAATAGTAAAATGAACTTCCGTATACCCATCACCTAGATTTAATTAACATTTTGTTACATTTACTAAATCTTTTTATTTTGACTGATATGTTTGAAAGTAAATTAACATATCACAGCATTCCACCCCTAACTCTGTATAAGCCTTCTTCTTCAAGAGAGGCTATGTTTTCACCTTGAAAGATAGTTCTTAGAGAAGAGGCAAAATACACGTTTCACTTCCCCTCTAATTATGAATTTTCAGGGTGAGGCTTTAGCGCAATCGCGCCCCCAGTGGCAAAGTCAGATCTGTGTTCACAGGGACTGGGCATGGCGAGGAAAGATGTAGGAAACCCTTTCTCCTTTGACCTCGAGCTAGTATTCTAGCTCTGGCCCCTAGAAACCCACAAGGTGAATCGTCAGCCTCTTTGCCGGCAAAGTTCCTCATGGGAAGGTGACAGAGACTGGATGTGACATGCAGGCAGAGGAGAGGAGTGACTTCTGAGCCCAGCGCTGGCTGGGGCCTTCTTCCCCAGTGAGCAGTGAGCCTCGGCCCGTCTCCTGCTTGTGATTCCAAGGAGGCGTCTCTGACTCCCACAGCTCGGATTCTGTGGCCTTCCCAGGAACACAAAGGGCAGCTCTGAGCCCAAGGAGATCAGCACCTGTCTCACCTGCCCTGCCCCTGGAGGACCACTTCTGCAGCTGGAGCACACACAGCCCCACCACCTTCATCGGCGAACGTAGATCAGAAAGGGCCGGTGCCAAGGAAGAAGGCTGGCTCGATGTGGTGGGGAGAGCCTGACCCCTAAAGACTCCAGGGAAGGTGGCTTCCTGCCCAGCCCAGGGGCTGGTGGCCTCAGCCGTCATGCCCCTGCCTGGCCCTATCTGCACAGAGCATCACAGCCACGGAAGGTGGAAGAGCACAGCCAACTGCAGGGAAGCCCCAGCATCCTGGGAGAGAATAGGCCTCGTGGCACTGGGCCAGGCCCTCGGCAGGCCCACGGAGCCCTCTTCTGTTCTTCAGAGAGGAGCCACTGGTTCCAAACGTACAGCAGAAACTAGTCTGTGGGGCATGGACTGAGGGTCCCAGGAGGGCCTGGGGGCCGCCACCCCAGGAACTAATTCTTGAGATGGAGAATCATCCCCTTCGGGTTATTCCTCCAGCTGGGGATGCCTGAGAAGGCCACTGGGAGAACGACTCCCCCGGGGCTCAGCTGTTTGGCGGCCGTCTCCCCACAGCAGGAAGGCCCTGGCTGGCAAGTGGGTGGGGCATGAATTTTGGAGGCAACAGAGGAGGTGCTGACGGCAGCCAGGTGGGCACAGCCGGGCAAATTCACTGACCTTCTGCCGTGTGACAGCTTGGCAGCAGGCCACCCTCCACTGAGTTTGTGCCACGTCCTGTCCCCAAGCCATTGGGGTCTCCTGCCCAGCTCCACCCTCCCCTTGTCAGGCCTCTGTCTACATAGTGAGAGTGGGGTTTCCCAAAGCGTGTCTGCAGAATGCTGGTTCTCAGGATGTTGATGAGCACTGCCTGCGAGCCACATGCACAGCTAAGATCTCCCTGTCGCCTGTGCTTCCTGCCCCCCACAGGCAGTCATCAATGGCACTGAGGCCATTGAGGGGCCTGTGAGAGGAAGATAAAACCTCAGGACCCCAAACCCACTATGCCAAAGGGAAGTGGAGCATGGGGACTGAGTCTCGCGGTGCCGCCTCCCTTCTGTGGCCACACAGGTAACTGGGGCTTCACACACCTACCCCAGCTTCTGTGAAATGCGGATCCACTGAGCGCAGAGCAGAGCCTGGCAAGGATGTAGCCACTGTCTCATTGCCTACCCAGACCCAGCTTTTTTTCCTTTCCTCCTTCCCCTCCTGTCTGCTCTTTCCTCTTTAAATATTGAAGTCCTCAAAACTCTCTTTGGGAAAAGCACAGGACATAGATCCCACTAGGACTTGCGCTTCTCCTTCCTGGGTGCGGGCTCAGCCTCGGCGGAATAACCCTGGAATCGACGGAGATCGGTGCGGGCTCAGCCTTGGTGGAATACTGGAATCGATGGAGATCAGTGCGGGCTCAGCCTTGGTGGAATAACCCTGGAATCGACTCAGATCAGTGCAGGCTCAGCCTCGGCAGAATAACCCTGGAATCGACGGAGATCGGTGCGGGCTCAGCCTTGGTGGAATAGCCCTGGAATCGACGGAGATCGGTGCGGGCTCAGCCTTGGTGGAATAGCCCTGGAATCTACTCAGATCAGTGTGGGCTCAGCCTCGGTGGAATAGCCCTGGAATCGACAGAGATGGGTGTGGGCTCAGCCTCGGCAGAATAACCCTGGAATCGACTCAGATCTTGCAGGCCCCATCCCTCAGGCACGGGACGCTTGAAGACCTGCCATGCTCAGGGTAACAAACATAGCCCTTTCCTGATAACCCTGCATCTCCCACCAGAGCCACAGAAACTACAAAGGTGCTGCCACTCCACACCCACAGGCGGGCTGGCACCCACCAGCTGAAACCCAGATGTGAAAATCTGCAGATTTTCAGATTTGGGACTTGGGGTGCATTTTGTCTTTTTCACAGCAGCCATCTTCCCCACTGGGCAGAAGGAGGAGCAAACCAAATTCCTACAGCACCGCCTGCTGCACGTGCCTGGAGGGAAGGAGCGCCCCGGGCCAGGGGAGGGCCCAGAAGGGCCGCAGCTAGTTCGAGTCTTCGTGACCCAGAGAACTGGCACAGTCCCTATTTCTGCATATCCCCAGATCTCCAGCACCCTGAAACTGCCAGGGAGCCTCAGGCAAGGCCCCGATGTGATCAGCTGCAGTGACTGATTGGGCACCGATACCAGGTGTGCCATCCTCACCCCATCTCACTTGGTCCTCACGCCCACCAAGGAGCTGCTATTCTTGTCGTGTTTCACAGATGGCATAACTGAGGGCCCACACGCAGGATCACACAGCGGGGACCGTATAAGCTGGGACTGGAACCGGCTCCCTCTGCCATAAAGCCATCTGTTAACCATCCAGGTTCCTCGCTGGCCCTGCCTGTGTGAGCCAAGGTGTCTGTGTGTGTTCAGGACAAGGTTCCACAGGTTTGAAGCTGGCGCTAAGAGCTGGCTGGGCTGTGTCTGCTCAGAGCCCAGTCCTCTTCCAGGGCATCCTGACATGGCCAGATGGCACCGTCTGACCAGCCTGAAACCTTCCTAGTGCCATGAGAAGGGGACAGGAGGCTTGAGGAGGAGTCCAAGACCTCCTTAAGCAGCATGAAACTCTGGCCCAGCTGAGAGTCCCCAGCCCAGGGGCCCTGAGACCCCATGATGCCTCTCCCCAGCTGTAAGTCCAAGAGTCCTACAATGGGAAACTACTCAGTCGTCAAAAGGAACAAACG